AGTAGTTAACATGTAAGATAGTTAAAGACAGTTTCGTTTTAAATTTGCTTTAGCGCACAATAGACAAGTCTGTTCTTGGAAATATGAGATAATTCGAGTGTTTATCTAATCAAATTGTACTCGAGTTTGAACGATTGGGTTTTCGTGGGTCAATTACTTGTTTGATTCTGTGCTAATATACTCTGTCCAAGATCAATGAAATTCTGCTAGGAGTAATCTTCCTTTAAGATATTCTATGCATGTACCATCAGGTAAAAAATAAGAGAGAAAGGAAGAAAAGAACAAGCATAAGAATCAAACTGCAAATTAACAATTAATTATGTCAAAACTGTTAATCAAGCATAATAAATCATGTCATAAAAAAACATCTAAGACAACCATATTATGACATAATAACCAAAGCTGATGAAGACTGCTTGTTTTTCATCTTTCCTATTATTAATTCTCATAATTATTATCCATTGAAAAGGTCAAATACATAGAGAAATTTTTCGGTACAAACGATATTACAAATGGGGCTAATCTCTGAGTAGAAAGAAGTTCCATTTTCCCCTTGTTCTGTGAAGGAACAGAAGATGAAGGAACAGAAGATGAACTCTAATACATATACCAGAAGATACAAGTCAAATTAATTTAAACTTCATAACCCTCCATTTGAACATCTTTGGACTTCAAAGGTTCATACTCACCCAAATAAACTTCAAGATGATCAGAAAGTGCAGATTTGTCAATGTTCTCATGGTGATAGGACTTGCAAACAAAGTAAATAATTGTTTGTATCACCAAACCAAGTAACACCAACTTGAACATCATAAGAAGACAAAGCAACCCAAATCCTGTCCTATACAACATCCCTAGATGCATATGCTTCCCATGTCCATGTACCACAAACTTCTTGAAAATAAAGTTTAGGATACCAAGTGAAAGATTGAACTTGAAAAAGAAAACTAAGGCTATTGTCATCTTCCCCTTTAACAATTCCTTGCTTTTAAGCATGGCTTTCACCCCATATGAATCCTCCAACACAGTTACTACACTAGCTAAATGCCATATAACTGAAAGGTACACGGATCCAAGGACATAAACAATCGCCATGATCACGAGAACAAACTTAACAAGACCATCATTTTCTCCCTGCATGCCGAAAGCCCATATTGACACTATAACTAGGGCAAAGAAGGCAACAAGGTTGTAGATGAAGAAACAAACAAAAGCACACAAGAAAGTGACCATAACTCTCTTCCAAACTTTAGGCAGAACACTCATAACTTTCATGAAATTGACTTCACGTGAAGTGTATATGCATGCGATTGTGTAAAC